GGGGGGTCGGGGTGGGTGGGAGGGTTGGGTGTTCAGTGGGCTTCTCTTCTCCGGCTGGGTTTGATCAGAGCGCTTGCTTTGTCTCTTTCCGGGGCCGCTCTGCTCCCCGCGGGGAGAGCAGCGGTGTGTGCTCCTGCGGGGCCGGGGCGGGCAGCGTGGGCAGCAGGGGGCTGTGCGGCCATGTCACACGGAGGTGCGATGGCTTTTCTTTTTCCCAGGCCCGGTGCTGTGACATCTGTTCACACCCAGCTGCTCCATCAGACGCCGGCGGCTGACTGACCGTGCTGACAGGTAACGCATACACAGGACAATCTTTTCCTCATTTCACTTCTTAAAAGCCAGGATTAACTGGCAGGCTGCTGTCAGTCTGTGAGCCCTGGCGATGAGTCCGCCAGGCACCCTCCGGAATTTGGGTACAGCGAGGGGCTCTACCTGAGCAACAAACTCCACATATCTCCCCACAGAGGAGGGAAAAAAACCCTGTTATAAAACACAGTCTCCAGCGGTTAGCAGAGGGTGTGAGATTGTCCATAAGCAATTTACCATGGATTCTTTATGGGATCACAGCTCCTCGAGGCTAATGATTGTATTCTGCAGTTACGCAAAATAATTGGAGACTGATACTACTGCGCCGTTTGTCTTCAGCTCTGTCCAAGTCCAGCAAAAGAGCTCAGCTGTTGTCCAGAAAAAATCCTACGTCCCCACTAGCAAGGGCGAATATATTGTCACCAAACTCGATGACCTGATCAACTGGGCGCGAAGGGTGAGTCACTGAAGCTGTTGCGCTCACTAGGGAGAAATGGTATCAGATGGTTTGAGGTGCTGGTGGGAAACGGATTTCAGCCATCTCCTCCTCCAGATAAAAATAGGTTCCAAATTCTCCACAGGGAAATAGCCAAGTTTCTTGGCCAGAGGTTGACATTTGGGGTACTGTGTCAGAGTGGGAGAGAGACGCTTAACGTGAGGGTGGTGCAAAGCAGCGCAGGCTGCCTGTCTAACAGAGCTGTCCTTCGGTAACGAGCAAAAGGCACTTTCTGGTTTTACATAGTCCTTGTAATGAGCCGCTGCTCAGTGCCGTGGAGAAGGCTGCACAAGTGGTGCTGCCCTGAATCCCTGGCTCTGGCTTAGCTGAGTTTTGCCTGCTCCAGTCACCGCTGCCCTCGTGTGGGGCTTCTGAGGTGGCTGCATTAGCAGTGTGAGATGTAAAGGGGAGCGCCTACGGCTTTGAGCACGTTCAGCATCTCTGAGGCTGCAAATGCACAAATCTCTATGCGTTTATTTCCCTGGAGCTCTGGGTTTTGCTCTCCTGCGTGATGGCAAACCCCGTTTTCGTTTATGATGCTCTGACTAAAAACAGACCTTGAAACTTCTCTTGTTCCGTTTCGTTTTCTGTCTGATCAACTCTTGTTCTTTGAGTCACGCGCCCAGCGCCTGCTTTCAGCGTTCTTACCCACAACCCGCCTCCCCTCTGCTGCAGAGCTCCTTATGGCCCATGACGTTTGGCCTGGCGTGCTGCGCCGTGGAGATGATGCACATGGCGGCTCCTCGCTACGACATGGACCGCTTCGGGGTGGTGTTTCGAGCTAGTCCCCGGCAAGCTGATGTCATGATTGTGGCCGGCACCCTGACGAACAAAATGGCTCCGGCTCTTCGAAAGGTACAGACTGCGGTGGGTGCCTCTTGCACGGCTGCGAATGGAAAGCAGTCTGAAATGTCTGTGTTCTGCAGGTGTACGACCAGATGCCGGAGCCTCGCTATGTGGTCTCCATGGGGAGGTAAGTGCCGGGACATCCTTATTGCCTTCTACTGCATGGGAGACGTCTGGTATCTCCGCTTGAGTGGGGAGATGAAAGGAGGGGAACCATTTCTCATTTGTATTTCCAACCCCTTAAATTATATAAAGAGGCCTTGTTACAAGTGAAACATAAAGACTCTTTGATTAGGGCGAGGAGAATGATGTCTGTCAAGTCGCTGTCAACTGCAAAGTCTTCCCAGTGAAAGACTCTGGGGTTTTTGCAGCTGTCAGAGTCTGGGGACTTTATACGTCCAGAGTCTACATTTTACATTTAGACAAAATTTACATTTAGACAAAAGCTTTCAAAATGTTTCTGCTGTGCAGCTTGAAATCTGAGCTCCGTGGAGCTCTGGTGTGGTGGAACTGACACCTTGTTCGTCTCCTGGAGCTGCTGGGGCCAAGGGCGGCTGTTTCACCAGGGCCTGGAGGGGACGGAACAGGTTCTAGAAACGCTCTGTGCAGATATGGCAAAATAAAAAAGGTTTTGCAGTAGAGAGGAAGGACCCCCTGAATATCTGCTTTGTAAGGGTTACAAAAACGGTTCGGTTTGGTTTGATTCAGCTTGAAATACAACAGCCTGCGAGTGTAGCCTCTGCCTTCCAGCTGGGTCTTGTGAAGAGGCCGAACGGCCACGGCGTAAACCTTGGCATCCACTCCATCCCTTAAAATCTGTCAGGTGGCTCCTTGCCCCACAGCACTCGGATGCCGGCTTCACCTTCTCCTTTGCCTCCTGCTCATTCTTCCCGTGGGCTTCTGAGCCGCATTTAACAACGCGCTGAAACCCGCCCGTCTCTTGCAGCTGTGCCAACGGCGGGGGTTACTACCACTACTCCTACTCCGTGGTGAGGGGCTGCGACCGCATTGTGCCGGTGGACATCTACGTGCCAGGTAGGAAAGACAACCTCTGCGTGCCACGGCGCTAACTCAGAGCAGGACGGGAGCGAAGTGAATTTTGTACGTTTGGACGGCGCTTGGTGTAGTTTTTAAAGATCTTTCTGTTTCGAACTGTGTTGCTAAAGTTGCAGACGCTTCAGTAAGATCTGCCTGGGGTTTCCAGTAAGTGAGTGGAGTTCTTCTGGTGCTTTTACTCACCAGTAACTCTTGTGTAAAGTGCAGGCTGTAGTTTAGTCAACGACATGCTCTCTGTGAGATACCACCTTGCTTAAAAGCAAAGCATTTCTATGTTTTATAAAGACCTTTTCAAAAAACACTGTCACTTTAGTTTCTTTAAACTAAAGAAGCCCTCTTGCTTTTATGAACTCTGCAGCCTGTGACAGACACAAAGCCAGAGGGAAATCCAGCCTGCTTTGGGGTAAAGCCCGTGGCGTGTCGGTTCTCCTTCTGGCTACATTTCAGTGCAGCTGGCAGCCCCGTGGGCTTCCTTTTTCTCTCTCTCAGGTTGCCCACCTACTGCTGAAGCTTTGCTGTATGGAATCCTGCAGCTTCAGAAGAAAATCAAACGGGAGAAGAAGATTCAGATTTGGTACAGGAAATAGCCTCGTATTTATGACCTGCCCACTTGGGGCACCTGCTTGCATTCGTACGCACAATAAATCTGTATTCTCACAAGCCTTCCAATAAAACTCTACCTGGTTAAGATGCTCTTCTGTCTTTAATATATCCCTCTTATCTACAGTGTTTTAACTCGTTTAAAAACTGAATTGAAAAGCAGGGGTTGAATTTGATAACAGTGTGTTGTTTTCTGGTCTGGATAGCCTGTGAGGGAAGGAGAATGTTTGAAGTTACCTATCGTGACATAAATGCCTCACCAGAGACCTGGGACTTGCTCTTCGGCTTTGTTAGGAGGTTCTCTTTGTTAGGAGACCCCGAGGTCTCCCTGAGCTCGTCTCTTACTCACCACCTGCTTTTTTTTTGTAATTCCTACAAAGGATCTAATAAATCCTTTTGATGTGTGTGCACAGCAGCCAGAAGTTAATTATATTTCTATAATGTAAGTGAAATATTAATGCTTAAAATCAGAATATGACTAATAAAAATGAATGCTGCAGCACTCAGTAGGGATAAAGCTGCCCATGGCGGGCTTCGGTACTGGTTGCGTCCCAGGAGCCCGGTGTGGTGGTCTCCCGGCAGCCTGGGACGAGGAACAGTTACTGCAGAATTACACACGCGCTTTTGAAAGACAAATAAATTGCTCTGAAACAGCCATTGTGTATTTCATTGCGTCATTTATGCGCCATTGAACTGCAAGGAGGTTGTCAGGATCAGAACTTGCTGCAGCGGGCTTTAGCCAAAAGTATCAGGAAACTTCACCGGGGAGTTGCTCCAGGAGCGGCCGAAATGGCTCCAACTGCCCCGTCTTCCCCATTTCTCCCGCCTCGTTTAGATTATTTGGCTCATGTGTGGAAAGCCACCCCATGATTTCTAAAAATGATCCAGTTTTTAGAGGAAACATCTCCGTCCTTGAACCCCTTTGGCTAAAGGCTCTGAGCTCTTGATTTGCAGCTTAATTGAGGTATTTGGAGACAGGGCAAACAGAGGCAGGGTGGGACCTTCCCCCGGGAGCCCAGAAGACCCCTCCAGGGCAGGGGGCTGCCTCGGGCTCCGTGGTGGGGCAGGGAGTCCCAAGTCCTTTTGTCCAGGAGGTCCCTGGAGACCCAGGACTTCCCCCCCAAGCCTCCAGCCATCTCCTGCCTCCAGATAAATCAGCTTGAATCTTCTCTCATTAGCATCAAAGGAGATAAGAGCTTTTCTCCTCCTGGCAGTGCACATCATCAGCCTCTCCTCCTTAGTGCTGGCTTCCTGCGGCTCTGGGGCAGCCCTGAGGGACGGTGCCAGGCTGCCGGCACCCTCAGTGCTTAATGATGGTGGGTGTGATCATCTTGTGGAAGGAGTAGTACCTGCAGTCCTTGGGGGGGACCAGGTCCATCACCGTCGTGCTGATGTTCTCCTTCTTGAACCCGGCCTCCACCAGGTGCCCTACCTGGGTCTCCTGCGAGAGAGGAGGGGCGGAAAGGAGCAGCGATGGTTTGAGCTGCCCAGATGCCAGCAGAGATGCTGCTGAGCCCCGGCTTGCGGGGACAGTGCGAGCAGGCAGGTGCAGGGAGCTACCGTG